AGGCAGGCAGGTGGATGGGGAGACGGCAGGGATGGGCGACGGAGCATCACGTGGCCAGAGAGAGAAGCATAGAGACAGGGAGAGAAAGCTGCAGACAGAGGTGAGCTCAGAAAAACACATACAGGTCAGCACTTCAGCAGGGAGACAGAGACAGACACCGGCAGGCCCTGAAGAGCCAGAGGGAGACGGAGAGAACGCAGAGGCAGGAAGAAAGTCAGAGACCAAGGGAGAGAAACAGAAAGAGTTGGAGAAAAAGAGAAGGGGAAGAAAGACCCAGAGAAAACTGAGACAGAGGAGGGGGCAAGAGAAAGAGAGAGTCAGAGAGATGGAGGCAGAAACAGGAGGGATAGGGGAGCCTGGAGAGAGGCCCACAGGTGGGCAGGGAGACAGGGTGGGAGGTGGGGACTCCGGGGCGGGGGCCACTCACGGAACTCGCACACGAAGGCGAAGGTCTGGGCGCAGTCCGAGGCCACCCACTCGGAGGAAGGGCCTCTCCCGATGTGGCCGCAGGTGTCAGGGGCAGCGGTGGCCTGCCCTCCGCGCCAGTTGCTGTAGGTCACATTGGAGGTGTCCAACCAAATCCCCGGTCCTGGAAGGACAACACAACCACCAGGCCTCAGCAACTGTCTTCAAATTCCATTTATACAAATGCAGGGCTCACCCCTGCTCTGCCGCTGGTGTGCAGCAGGTCAGCAATTAATGTTGATGGGCTGGAGAGCTCTCTCCAGGAGCAGTAAAGGTCTCTTCCTCACTATCATCTTCAAACACTCAATAGAAGAACTGGAACACCAAATTGGAGAGCTTGCAGAAGGTGTTTTGATTAAATAAATGAGGCTGCCAGCTCTGTCTAACCATAATTGATAATTTATTTATTTTGAGATGGGGTCTTGCTTTGTCACCCAGGTTGGAGCGCAGTGGTGCATTTCAGCTCACTGCAACCTCCGCCTCCCAGGCTCAAGTGATCCTCCCAACTTAGCCTCCTGAGTAGCTGAGACCACAGGTGCAAGCCACTATGACTGGCTGATTTTTTTGTATTTCTGGTAGAGACAGGGATTTTGCCATGTTTCCCAGGCTGGCCTCCAGCTCCTAAGCTCAAACTCCATCCGCCTCGGCCTCCCAAAGTTCTGGGATTACAGGCATGAGCCACCGCACCTGGACCTGACCACAGTCTAAGGAAGAGCCAGGGGCCAGGCCCGGTGGCTCACGCCTGTAATCCCAACATCCCAGAGGTGGGAGGATCACTTGCACCCAGGAGTTTAAGACCAGCCTGGGCAACCTAGAGAGACCTTGTCTCTCCAAAAAAAAAAAAAAAAAAGAAAGAAAGATGCAGAAAACTAGCTTCTCAAATTCTGCATTGCTTACTTGTCTCTCAAAAAAAAAAAAAAAAAAAAAATTTAGTCACGCATGGTGCCTGTGGTCCTAGCTACTCGGGAGGCTGAGTTGGGAGGATTGCTTGAGCTGAGGTTGGGGCTACAGTGAGCCATGATCATGCCCCTATACTCCAGCCTGGGAGACAGAGCAAGACCCTGTCTCAAAATAATAATAATAATACAGTTCAGAAGTGGGCCATGGGATGTTTTAACATATCATCTTCTTCATAATCCAAGTATACCTGGGCAGTGCTGAATTAAAACATAAGCAGTTATTGTTACTTTGGGCCTCTTCAGATCCTTGAAAATACTGATGTAACTCTTGAAGAGGAGTGTGTGTGTGTGTGTGTGTGTGTGTGTGTGTGTAAAACAGAACCATGTTGAGGACACCAGAGAGCTAGAAAACACTAAATATAAAAATTTACTGTGGTTGGGCGTGGAGGCTCATACCTGGAATCCCAGCACTTTGGGAGGCCAAGGTGGATGGATCACTTGAAGCCAGGAGTTCAAGACCAGCCTGGTCAACATGGTAAAACTCTGTCTCTATTAAAAGTACAAAAATTAGCCGTAATTCCAGCTACTAGGGAGTCTGAGGCAGGGGAATCGCTTGAACCTGGGAGGCAGAGGTTGCAGTGAGCCAAGATGGTTCCACTGCACTCCAGCCTGGGAAACAGAGTGAGACTCTGTCTCAAAAAACAAAAATTTATTATGGGTACTCAAAAATATAATTATTAATTTATTGAAAGAAATTCATGCAAATGAAATGGTTTTTAAAAATCCAAATGGCACAAACGGTATAAAATGAAAGTATCTTCCCCCTCTAACCTATGGGCTTCTCCATCATTGTTATGTTTCTCATAAATCGTTCCAGGCTGAATTGAATCGTATCCACACATCAGCATTTACTAGTGCCTGAAATCTATTTACACAAATGCCATCTGATTGCACACAGTGTCTGACCCTTGTTTCTTAAACGACATTAAACATTGGAGGTTGTTACCTATCAGCCTAGTTAGAACTACATTTTCTGCAATAACCACACAGTATCCCTGGAGAGGTTTTAATAGGCACAGCTCCTCTAGCTGGATGTGAATGGATGCTCAATACACAGAACTCGGCAACTGTTGCATCTACACCTCACAAAACCATTCAGGAGACACTGCCTGCAGGGGCGTCTTAAGAATTCAAATCCCCTTGGCTGTGGGTTTTCTTAAATGAGCTTCCCAGTGGCTCATTTATTAAAACACTTCCATCCACTCTGGCGTTGTTCTGTGGCTGTTCAGCACGTGCCATGTCTCATTTCTCAAACCCAGTAGCTTATATAGGGGCGAAGAGAACCTCTGGGTACCAAGGTGCCCAGTAGGAAAGTCAGGCTTAGCATTGCTCTCACTGGTAGAGACCCCACTGTGTGCCACCAGCTGTGTCATACTGAGCACATCTTTTCTCTCCAGACTTCATTTTCCTCCTCCGTGAAAGGAGAGCAGCTACGCTTACCTTGTGGGGTCCATGTGAGCATGTGAGGCTTGAATGCAAATATTTTCTCATCCATTCTCTCTTTCTTTTTTTTTTT